CCGTTTCCTTTCTCAGTTTCACTCACGAATACCCCGTGACGATTCCACACCAGCGCGGCGCTTCGGTTCCTTGGGGTGCGCCTCGGTCCCTCCGCGGGCGGCGCTGTGGATTGTCAGCAGCCCCCGCTCCACGGGCTGTTGGGGACGTTTGCTCGGACACCCTCTCCTTCGAGGCACAGCCGTGCCAGTCCCATTGCTCTGCGCTGGGTTGGCCTCCAGCACAAACGCCAGGCGGTGGGGTGAGGGTGCAGAGGGGGAACCGCTTGTACGTGCGATGCGACGGGCAGATGGATGTTCTCGTTTTAAGCTTTCGTTCTCAGACCTGTCTGGTCCATGTCCAGGTGTAGGAGGGAAAAACAGAATTTGCACATTGGTTTCCTGAGTGTACAGTCTTGCGGAGTTTTGTTTTAAAATAGTTTTATTTAAGTAAAAATGGCATGTGAGTTAAAACGAAGTGCTGCATAAACCATTCTACAGGCGGCACATGGCCGTGCAACATCAGGACGGCTCCTGCACTCAGCATGGCCGTTTTCCCCACCACAGAATCTCCGGGGGGCACTGGTTTTTATCTCCATTTCACGGACAAGGAGCCGGAGGCCCAGAGAGGTGTCACTTGCCTGAGGTCACACGGCGACTCCAGAGCCTGTGCCGTAGCCCCCCCTGTTCTGAGATGATTCCCGGCTGGGTCTCCCCTCCACCTGCCTGTGGGCCCTGTGCTGAGCAGCGAGGGTGGCACAGCCTGAACTCACAGCCTGAACTTCCTCCCCGACCTGGTGCTTCAATCAGCTTCCTTCTTCCTGCAGCTCGGCCTCCGCTCAGCCAGAGTGCAGCCACCTGTGAGCAGGCCACACGGCCATGCCGACCGGAGAGGCTGTTTTAGGCTTTGACTCAGCGGTTTGTTTCTGATTTGTGCTGCTTCCTTCTCAGCTGCTGTGTCTGGACTCAGGCCCTTGGTCCTGGGGTTGGGTGCTCACCATGAAGACTCTGGTTATGGGGCGGGCGGAGGGTACCCCAAGTGGCTGTCACTGGCCGGTGCTGCATTTGTCCTCATCTGTAACTCCCTGTCAGGTGGGGACCCCCTGGGGGAGGCTCAGGGGCAGGGGGGCAGCCAGGTGTTCTGCCCGCTGTCCCCACTGCCGGAGCCTGACACACTGGGCTTCCACGCCTGTCTCTCCCGTTGTCTTGTTTGGAGACTTCGAGCAGTTTCCTTTCCTAAGCCTCGCTGGCCGCCTGGACGTCCAGAATAACACTGTCCCCCCCCCCCCAGTGGCCAGAGTGAGGGTTGGATGACATGACCTGGAGCACCCGGTGCTGTGTGTGGCTGGCGGTCTGTGCCCAGTTCATGGTGACAGCAAAAGTCACAGCAGGTGATTAGCATTTTGTTGTCATTCGTCAGTCTCTTGACTCAGGATCAGAAGCGGAAGGAAACGTGGAAATGCAAGCTCACCTAGGACAGAGCATGGTGGGCCTGAGCCACAGGAAATATGGGACAGGAGTCACTTCAGGGTCTAAGGCACCTGATTCCGGGGGTGGAGAGATGACCAGGGCCTGGAAACCAGGTGGTGATGCTGTGATAGGGATACGGGGGCCTCGGCCCTATCTCGGAGAGCATCTGGTCATGAGCCCAGGGAACTCACCCAGGACTTGCGGAAGTGTGCTCGCATGTGGCTGGGCCCCCGCCAGTGTGCTGCAGGGAGAGGGGTGGGTGTCTGGCAGAGGGGCCGGGCGGGGAGGAGAGAGTGAGGCAGGCGTGGTTTGAGACAACAGGGAACGGTGGGGACTGTGGAGACCTGGACTGCGTATCCCTTCCCCGGAGGGGACAGCGGCTGCTCCGCCCGCAGCAATGTGTTACTGTTGCCACTACTTGTGGGGTTTTTTTTAAAAAGGAGCCAGAAATTTACATTTTGAGCTGACATTTCATGATTTTTAAATATTTTCAAATCAACGAAGTCAAATTTTTAAGAAGCACCATCTGGGCCAAAGGCAGCCTGTTTCCAAGCTCAGTTTGCAAGCACGGACGCCAGCTTGTGGCCCCTGAGCACGAGGGAGGCCCCGGGCTGGGGATGGAGGCAGAGACGGATGCAGAGGCCCCTCCCACGTGGGGGGGGGGAACCTGACTGTAGAACAGTATGCGGGAGGGATGGAGGTGGGCGCTGCACCTTTGAATGGGATCAAACAAGACGAAGGGAGCGTTCTGACTCGAGCTCCCTGGACCCCAGGGCAGGTCAGCAGGATCCTCGGAGCTGGGAAGGGAAGTGTTTTGGTTAAAGACAGAGCTGACCTTTAACCCGTCCCACTTGCATAGGGTGCCAGCTGTGAAAATACTGACATACTTTTCACCAATTGGTAAGTAGCCACTGGACCCATGAGCCTCCCCTTCATGCCTTCCCCCCACCCTCTCCCCCTGCTGGCCCCTCACCACCTCACCTCGCTATGACCGGCAATGAGAGGGTTAGCTCCCAGCACAGCCGCCCTTGTTCCTCTGCCTGGTCAGTGGGCAGTGCCTGAACCCTAGGGCTGTAGCTCCCAGCCCTCCACCCTGTTGCAGTGTTGCAGGTAGCGGCTGCCCACCTGGGTCGCTGACGCACGAAGGAGGATGTGTAGAGGCCACGGGGGCGTCAGGTGGAATTGCAGGGCAGGTCCCCAGGGGACTGGCACCAGGCCCCATCCGAGGTCACGTGACCTTTGTCCTTGCTCCTCTCTCTTCCTTGGAGCCCACCTCAGCCTGGGGCTGCCTGTCTCCTGGCCACCTGCATCCCAGCCACCAGCCATGGGAGCCATTGGAGCCAAACGTCACCTGTCTGCCAGTCGCCTGTGTCCAGGGAGTGGGGCCTCCAAGTGTAAACGCGTCCACCACGGAGGTGGCACCACAGGGACAGGCACGGGCGGGCTCCCTCAGGGCTGTCCTGAGGATCGCGGGCCCTGGGGACCGTGTGGCTGTCTTCCGAGCTCTCCAGGTGGGAGAGGCGGGGGGCATGCCCTGCTCGGTCTAGTGTCGGAGGGACTGTGGGGTCGGGGTGGAGTGGGCACTCGCAAGTCTGAGTCCCCCTGAAAGCTAAGGCAGGGGACGAGGGAGGAAGAGCCTCCAACAGCCTTCAAGGAACTTCCCCAGCTGCTCGCTGATTGGCTCCTTCCTCCTGGCCGGCTGTCGTGTGTCTGCACAGCTCTCCCTGCGTCGTCGTTTTCTTAAGCAGCGCGTGCATTTGCAGGGCTCTCAGTGGTCAGGGGTGGTCTCAGCCCGCAGCTGCCACCACAGCTCTCCGGCTCAGCCGTGGCAGCCACGTGGAGCCGTGCGCAGGGCCCTGCACCTCCGCTCTCTCCGGTTCCTCACCTGTAAAGGGGGTGGGGTAGTAACTGGAACGTACTTCATAGGGGTGTTAGACGATTAAGTACGTTCATGGCCGTTTGTCCCTGAAAATAGCTCCAGGCATGAGTCAAAGCTCAATAACTGTGAACTCTCGCTCTTTAAATATTTATCGAGCTCCTCCTCTATGCCAAATGCAACATATGCCCTGGGATATAACGGAGAGCACATTCCGTCATGATGCGTGCAGTCCGTCAGCTAGGGAGCTGGGTAAGCAGCTGTAACAAGTAGCCCTTAGATACAGTGACTGAAGATAGAAGGTAGGTTTTTTCTCAGGTGTCTGTCCCAAGGGACAAAGTCCAAGGCTAGTGAGGATGGTTTTATCCGTTCGACACCTGGTCCAGGTTTGAGTCTCGAGTGGTCACTTCCAGTTCTCACTGTCTTCCAGCTGGTGTGAAGGGGAAGGGGCCCCAAGGGCCGGGGTGTTCATACACCTCTCTTTTAAGGGAGCTGACCCTGCAGCACGCATGTCCCATTGGCTGGAACTCAGTCACACCGGCCCACCAGCTGCAAGGGAGGCCGGGAAATGCGGTCTCTCACGGGTGGCTGTGCTCTGCTGTAACTCCAGGATTCTGTTATTAAAGGGAAGAGCGGGTGTTGGTGGGAACCTGGCAGTCTCCGCCACAGCCTGCGGACTCTTTATTGGACCTTGAACTCTGTTCTGCAGGTGATGAGGTCCTAGCAGAGGGCCTCATCCCAGATAGTGGTTCCCAACCTTCTTTTGGCCTAAGCATCTCTAAAATCCTGATCCCCCCCCCCCCCCCCGTGACATAGAATTCTTATTTTTCAAAAAGTGAGCTCCTATTCATGTGGAGGAAGCCTAAAAGCCATTAACTTGGTCTAAACAAGCTTCCAAAGAACATGGCACCCATGAAAAGAGAAAAATAAAAGAACGAAAGGACAGTTGAAGTACTGAGGAAGACATCACTAAGAAATTGTTACAAAAATAATAATATGAAGTGACATGAAAAAATAGCAAATGACATTTCAAAACATATAATAGAGAACTGAAATTCATAAATGTGTCAGTATATCTATAATAATAAAAGTGTAATATGCTAATTAAACTGGACAGCCGAACGACCTTCCGGACGACCTTCTGGATGAAGCCAGGGCCACGAGGGCCGAGCCCCTTGCACGAATTTTGTGCATCGGACCTCTAGTACATTGTATACTGTATATGAGGCCCCTAGAACCATAAGAAAATGCAGAAAATGCACTGTTAATAACTCATTCTCGAATTGCCCCCCTTAAAGGTTAAATTGCCCCTGTGGGGGCGTGTGCCCCCGTTGGGAACCACTGCACCAGAGGCTTGCTGAGAGGTGGAGGGAGAATGGGAGCCGGTGCACGGTCTGCCTGCCGTGTGCACTGTGCCCGCTGTCCCGGGAGCCCTTGCTGCAGGCAGGGACAGCAGGCTGGGTGCTCCGACGGAGGCCCCACAGGCAGGCACAGCGAGTGTGCTGCGACCGACCGACTTCTCCCTCCTTGGCCCCTTCGGCCACTGGTTACCAGGCACCACGTCTGGCCCAGGCTCCAGCGAAGGTCCTGACAGGCGTGAGGAGTGGGGCGGGCTCTCCAGGGACCCTGCAGATGGACGCATGCGCTGACGCGGACCTCTCGTCTTCTCTTGGCCTAGGACCCCCGGAGCAAGCACAAGTTCAAGATCCACACCTACTCCAGCCCCACCTTCTGTGACCACTGCGGGTCGCTGCTGTACGGACTCATCCACCAGGGGATGAAATGTGACAGTAAGTACCCTGGCTCAGAGGCTCCACCTGCTGGCTGGCAGCACTCCCTGAGTCCTGTCAGGGCTCCTGCTTATCTGCACCAATGGGAAGCCTTGGCCTCTTGCCCCCCCCCCCCCCACCCCCCTGCTGTGCTGGAGTGGGGGCTGCTGGGGTGTCAGCTTGGCCAAGTCCCCTCACGCACACCTTCCCTCACTTGTTACCTGCCACCTGGTACTGAAGTTAGTGACTCTGGCTTTAGGGCCCGTGGGGTGTGTGGGGTGTGTGGGGTGCACCCTTAGCCTTCGGGAGGCTGGACAAGCTCCACCTCCTCTGACCCTCAGGGTGGGGGCGGGGGGTTGGAGGAGGCTCCAGATGTGACCCAGTGGGCGGGCTTGCTGCGGCCAAGCTTGGGGGTCTCAGCTGCCTGGAAGGGAGGAGGGGAAGGAGGCTCAGTGCCTGGTTGGGACAGGCCTGCCACCGGCCCGGCCAACACGAGCCTCGCCTCGGCCCCAGCCTGCATGATGAACGTCCACAAGCGCTGCGTGATGGACGTCTCCAGCCTCTGCGGCACGGGACACACGGAGCGCCGCGGCCGCATCTACATCCGGGCGCACATCGAGGGGCACGTCCCTCACCGTTCTCGGTAGGTGGCCGGGTGGGGGGGGCTGTTTTCATTCACCGATGGGCAAGCCCCGTGAACCTTCCTCTGCTCCTGCCCCACAGCACCTGGGGCTGGAGCTCAGGATATTCCCCACCCCCCTTCCCCCTTACACTCTCTCAGCGCCTGTGGAGTGTGCACCTCTGGGTTCCCTTATTAGGACAGCAGGGAAGCGGTGCTGGTCTCTTTCCGTGTTTCCCGTGAGAGGAACCGGGTCTTGATGAGAAACCCTGGGAGAGCATCGCTCCTGGGGGCGGAGGTGCAGGGACTTCCCGTGTATTGGAAATATTTCTTTCTGGCACCTGACAGTGGCTTCGCTGCTCCCTGGTGCACACCCTCCATACCTTTGGTACTTCTGAAATATGTCTAACAGGAAGGAGGCCCGCTCAGCCTGCTGGGGGGGGGGGGGTGCAGTGGGACTGGGGACGAGAGAGCGAGGTGTCCATCACTCATGTCATGGGCCGTCCCAGAACCTCTGCCCCCCAGGAAGCTCGGGCGAGGTGGAGGCCCGCTGTACGGTACGCACCGGTCAGCACGCAGCCACAAGCTGAGGCAAAACCAGCTCTGACCGGCTGAGCGTGGGATATCATAGCTAACCAACATAATTAGGGTTTCATCACTTGGTAACTTAGGAAATGGATCACGAAAGGGGCTGATTTTGCAAAAATTGGTCTGTGAGGCCCCAGAATGGTTCAGTAGCTCTGATGCGCTGTCCCTTGTAAAATACAATCCCTGTTTTAAGCTAGGGGTCGTGACACCCGGTGCACATCCACTGAATTGCTTTATCCTTTAAAAAGAAGCTTTGCAAGTGGTGGACTTCATCCCACCGGGACACTTGGGGATTGTGGACAGGAGTCTGCAGTCACTTGTTCAAAAGTAGCTGGTTTTCCCAGGACTAGCATGCGGGTGAGGGGGAAAAAGTGAGGCCCTGCTGCCCTCTACTGTCATATTCTAGGAACTACAAGGCTCAAGTATGTGACGGGACCTTTCAGGGGCGCCACTCCCTTTAGGGTGGTCTGCATTGCTGAGCTCATGAATGCAGGGCTCACACCCCGTCATCACGGTGGCCCAAGGCCCACCCGTTGTTCCCACTACAAAGAAGTGATAGTTATGTGACGTGAAGGTGGCAGCCGTCGTATTGCCATCTACAAGTGTATCAAACCGCACATTGTACACCTTAAACGTGCACAATGCTGCATGTCAGTTACGTCTCAACTAAAAGGGCTGTCCCTGTTCTCTTCCACTGCTCACCACAGCCTTGTGAATACCTATTACGCTCATTTTATGAAGCTCTGAGGCTCAGAAAAGTTATGCTTCCGAGACCTTACTCCATTAACAAGAAGAGTAAGAATGATATAATAGCCAACCTTCGAGTTTTTAATGTGTCCGTCACTGTGCAAAGCATCCACAGGCAATATTGTTCCTTTTTTCAGTAACTACTGAGCTAAGGAGCAAGGGTATTCTACCGACCGGGCAGCAGGCGGAGAGGTGCCCACACGGGGTCACGTGGGTCTGCTTGACGCTGAAGTGCACTGTACTAGGTCACTGTGTATTCCAGCGCCCTGCACACCCACTGCTGTGGTCTAGTTGCCTCTTACGGGCATTCCTTGGGGAGTCTTTGTTCCAACTAATGCAATACAGTGTTCCTTCCAAGTCAAGGCCAAAGGCTTCCCCTTCGTTCCATGTTTGCTCTGGCAATCCTAGTATATGCCTATGAATATTCATTTCCTACAGCCGCCCCAACAAAATGCCACAAACGGATGGCCTAATAGGACAGATACCTGTTCTCTAAGTGACCTGGAGGCTGGGAGTCTGAATCCAAGGGTCGGCGGGGGAGGCTGGCTCCTTCGGAGGCGCTGAGGGAGTCTGGTCCCTGCCCTTCTCTGCGTTCCGGTGGCTGCCATCAGCCTCTGGTGCTCCCCAATCTCTCCTGCATCATCTCCTGGTATTCCTTCCTGCATGTCTGTGTCAAATTTCCTCCTATGAGGACACCAGTCGCTGGATTAGGGACCCACCCTTCCTAGGATGACCCCATCTTAACTTGGTTACGTCTGCCAAGGCCTTATTTCCAAATAAGGTAATATTTACAGGTGCTGCGGTTAGGACTTGAATGTATCTTTTGGGGGGACACAAGTGAAACAGGGGAGAAGGGAGGAAAGTTGAGGTTCCTTTAAAGTGAGGGGTAGAGCCCTGGCCAGTGCGGCTCAGTTGGTTGGACGGCACCCCATGCACTGAGAGTTCACTGGTTCAATTCCTGGTCAGGGCACATGCCCAGGTTGCAGGTTTGATCCCTGGTCGGGGTGTGTGGAACAGGCAACCGATCGATGTTTCTCTCTCACATCGATGCTCCTCTCTCTCCCTCTCCCTTTCTCTCTCTCTAAAATCAATTATAAACATGAAAGTGAGGGGCAGAGTATTTTCATGCTCAGAGTTCTGATCACATTCATTGATAGCCACCAGCATTTGGACCCCGCGGTGGTTGTCTGAGTGCGTTGGTAACGGAGGGAGCACTGTTGCTCTCACACGGAAGGGGAAACTAAGACTCCGTGAGGCTGAGCAACTCGCCTGGAGTCACGTGCAGGCCCCGGCCGCGGCCCCGGCAGCTGGTCCCGGTGGTGCCTGGCCGCTGCCCTTTCACCACCCCGGGCACAGCCAGTCCTTGGCACGGGCTTGCTGATGGATTGGTGATGGGAGAACCTCGTGCTTTGACTGTAGTTCTCTAAAAATAGAGCCAAGATGAGTTTCTTGTTCAAGTGATTCATCGGGGCTGCTCATGGGGCGAGGAGTGAGCAGAGAGCAGGGAGAGGCTGCGTGGGGGTGTGGACAGGCGTTAGCTGCGTGGGAAGGTTGGGTCCAGCATCCCCACCGTCAGCCCCTCCTCGGGCAAGAGGGCTGTACTGTGAGGACCGTCAGTCTCCCCAAATTCTGTCTCCCCAAACTCATATGTTGGAGCCCCAACCCCCAGGGAAGTGCTATGTGGAGATGGGCCTTTGGGAGTCCTAAGGGAGGGCTCTCCTGATGGGATGAGTGGCGTTATAAGCGAAGGAGGAGAAAGAGCACTCCCTGCCCTGGGAGGGTAGGACAAGGAGGCAGCCGCTGCGAGCAGGAAGCGGGTTCGCCCCAGGAGCCTATCAGCCTGCACCTTGAACCCAGAACGCCTCCACCGCCGTGAGAAACCAAGGTCTGCTGTTTGCTCCCAGCCCTGGTCAGTCTCCCTGCAGCTGTGGGGGCTGGGCTGGGAGGGTGGCCTCTGTGTGGCTGCGGGATTATCCGGACACGGAGCAGCTGTGCGCCTCCCCAGCCAGCACGGGGGAGCCGGGCGGGCCAGGGACGCGGCTTCACCCAGTGATCTCTGGGGCAGCCTGGTTTCATGGTGGGGACCCCAGGTCCCTCTTCCTTGATCTCAGCCAGACAGACCAGAGAGCTGAAGGCTGAGCGGCCCCCGGAAGTCGCTCCGTGTGAGGACTCCCCACTCCCCAGTCAGGACGCTTTGCCCTTTGCTCTGAACACCACACGCACTGTGCACACCAGCCCATGAGAGGCCGCACCGCACTGTGCACACCAGCCCATGAGAGGCCGCACCGCACTGTGCACACCAGCCCATCAGAGGCCACGCGCACTGTGCACACCAGCCCATCAGAGGCCACGCACACTGTGCACACCAGCCCATCAGAGGCCACGCGCACTGTGCACACCAGCCCATCAGAGGCCACGCGCACTGTGCACACCAGCCCATGAGAGGCCGCACCGCACTGTGCACACCAGCCCATCAGAGGCCACGCGCACTGTGCACACCAGCCCATCAGAGGCCACGCGCACTGTGCACACCAGCCCATGAGAGGCCGCACCGCACTGTGCACACCAGCCCATCAGAGGCCACGTGCACTGTGCACACCAGCCAATCAGAGGCCGCACCGCACTGTGCACACCAGCCCATCAGAGGCCGCACGCACTGTGCACACCAGCCCATCAGAGGCCGCACCGCACTGTGCACACCAGCCCATCAGAGGCCACACACACTGTGCACACCAGCCCAACAGAGGCCACGTGCACTGTGCACACCAGCCCATGAGAGGCTGCATCGCACTGTGCACACCAGCCCAACAGAGGCCACGTGCACTGTGCACACCAGCCCATCAGAGGCCGCACCGCACTGTGCACACCAGCCCATCAGAGGCCACGCGCACTGTGCACACCAGCCTTTCAGAGGCCACGCACACTGTGCACACCAGCCCAACAGAGGCCACGTGCACTGTGCACACCAGCCCATCAGAGGCCGCACCGCACTGTGCACACCAGCCCATCAGAGGCCACGCGCACTGTGCACACCAGCCCTTCAGAGGCCACGCACACTGTGCACACCAGCCCAACAGAGGCCACGTGCACTGTGCACACCAGCCCATCAGAGGCCGCACCGCACTGTGCACACCAGCCCATCAGAGGCCACGCGCACTGTGCACACCAGCCCTTCAGAGGCCACGCACACTGTGCACACCAGCCCAACAGAGGCCACGTGCACTGTGCACACCAGCCCATCAGAGGCCACGCGCACTGTGCACACCAGCCCATCAGAGGCCACGCGCACTGTGCACACCAGCCCTTCAGAGGCCACGCACACTGTGCACACCAGCCCAACAGAGGCCACGTGCACTGTGCACACCAGCCCATGAGAGGCTGCATCGCACTGTGCACACCAGCCCATGAGAGGCTGCATCGCACTGTGCACACCAGCCCATGAGAGGCTGCACCGCACTGTGCACACCAGCCCATCAGAGGCCGCACCGCACTGTGCACACCAGCCCATCAGAGGCCACGCGCACTGTGCACACCAGCCCAACAGAGGCCACGCGCACTGTGCACACCAGCCCTTCAGAGGCCGCACCGCACTGTGCACACCAGCCCATCAGAGGCCGCACCGCACTGTGCACACCAGCCCATCAGAGGCCACGCACACTGTGCACACCAGCCCAACAGAGGCCACGTGCACTG